TCTCTCTCTCTCTCTCTCTCGTCCTAAACGATATGTTTAAACCCAAATCTAACAAAAATTAATTTATATAACTATAAATGTATAACATATCAATTGACATTTATTTAAGTGCATTGTGAACTAGGCACATTACACGCATAAATAATACAGTACTAAAAGGGATTTGTCCAGTGCTAATACATAAATGGCCCCAAATTGCAAATAAAAAATTTAAAAATTTTTTCAATTTGTAAAAATCAGGATCATGATCACAATAATTATAATTCATGTAAATGGACTAAAATAAAAATGTTATACGCCATAAATAACGCGTGTAATTGTAAGCAAACTTCTTATTCTTGCTGTAACTTTGGTCACTGACGTCAGAATTTAAAAATTCTTTTAGGACATTACTCCTCTCCCTTACACCTTTCCATTGATATATAATATGATATACTTATTCATAAAATAAAAGATTTGACTTTCAAATTTTTCCCGATAAAAGTGGTCACTGCGGTCAAACCAGAGGTCACTTGACCATATGTAGTATATCACTCGATTCCTTAGAGAAAGTACTTTCTGTTTATGACAATAATTCCCGGTTGCACGCTATCCCCAAAATGGGCATCCTCCTTTTAAGTACTTATAATAATCAATATTATTGTGTAAAAATTGTTTATGCAATTAATATTATCCTGGTCCACTTAAACCAGAATTATGTGATAATATAAGATAGTTAATATCTGCAATTATTTTATAAAACATCAATCAAGTACACAATAGAATAGATTGATGTAAAATTATTTAAACAAGTCATATCAATACATCATAGATAACCATGGTTGCTTTCAAAACCTAATAAAGTGTCTGAGCTATATAAACACTCCTAACATTTATTACAAACTCACATTAAATAACAAAATTGTTAAAGCAACAAATTAAGAAAATATACTTACTTCAACCGTGGTTAAAACTGACAATGAAGTTAACACATATACTAATGCTCGGCAGTTGCCTCGCCGTTTACGGCAACTGCAAGACCATTGAGGTGTCCACCGCTGACCAACTGCACAGCGCACTGTCATCGGTAACGCCGGGCGATAGCATACATATGGCCGCCGGCGACTACACGGGCACATTCACGGCCACCCGATCGGGCACAGCCTCGGCACCCATTACCCTAAAGGGACCGAAAAAAGCGGTCCTATCGGGACCTAAGTATGCCTTTTGGCTAAGAGCAGACCATTGGGTGCTCCGGGGGTTTTCGATGGCCAATTCAATTATGGGTCTCGTACTGGAGGGCGCCTCCCATAACCTGTTGGACGACATCGAGTGCTATAATAGCCGTCAAGAAGGCGTCCATTTCCGGATGAATAGCACCGATAATATACTGCAAAACTCCTATATTCACGACACCGGCAAAGGAGAGGGTGACTACTATAAAGGCAGAGGAGAGGGCGTGTATATCGGTCTGTCTGTGAGTATTGTTTAATAACTTGATGAATTATTTTGATATTTGTTTACGTAATTTATACTGTAGCATCGGTAATCTTGGTAATAAAGTCGTTTATTGATTATCAAAAGTATAATTGTCTGATATTACATGAATCTAAACTAATATAAATTATGTCTATAAATCTAGTATAAGTTTACATTGCAAACAATAGATATACTGTACAAATATATAATGTGATATATTATAATACCAATATGTATACAACCCACACAGCACAACAACTGGGTGGACAACAAGGTGGACATGAGTGACCGCAATCAGATACTGAACAACCGGATCGGTCCGGGAGTGACCGCCGAATGCATCGATGTTAAAGAGGGCACAAACAACGGCGTAATCCGAGGCAATCATTTTGACGGCACCGACATTAAGGGCATTCATTCGGCCGACTCCTGGGTTGACGTGAAGGGCGAGTCGTATACCATCGAAGACAATACCGGCGAACACAGCATTTACGATGGCTTTCAGGTAATGTAATAATAATGTGTATATAAATATATACTGTATATATATTTACAGAATATTCTGTATTTATAAAATATTCTTTGCATATAATAGCAAAATATTTTGTGTTATAATTACAGAATATTCTGAATGTATTTGTTGCACTATTTACTATGTGTGATTTCACTAGCTGTTATTATGCAACTATTACCGGTAATTATTTATTATATTTTATTCCCTTTGTGATTTAGATTCACTTTGGCCACGGCCCAGACAACATGGGCAGTTGTAACAATACCATCGTTAAAAATGTGTGCCACGGCCTGGCTAAGAATGGCACCTGTGTGCGAAGTAGCACAATTCGTAAATGTCCCAAGGGCGAAGAAAATATACTTCAATAAATTTATAATGAAAGTGTTATTTTAATTGTTTTTAATTCTAACGATATTAACAATTAAATTAAACAAACATGTGAATAAAAAGTTTCAATCTGTGTTAATTTAATGTCATTGTTTAATTTGCAATCATTAGTTTTGCATAACATGTAGTAAAAAAATGTTGTTATTTTTGATCTATAAATTTTAATTAATAATTTTAATTATTACAATCTGATTCAAATTATCTGAATTTTAGTTATACATAGTTATAATTGCACAATATTTATACATATGCATATCCGTATTCATAGTCAAAAATTATGGTAGGAATTTGAACATGAGTTATAAAACTTTTAATTACAACACATGATGATAATGTAAAATACACAGAGTATGTATGTTTATTACATGTGAATCATTACCAGTGTTATGAAAATAAATTAGTTGCTGTGCTGTTGACACTCTATTATATTTATCTTGATAATTTAAATATAAATAATTGTAGCACAAATTGTGCACAAACTTTTGTATTATACAAAAAAGCAAATCTTGTTTTGTATTATACAGTGAATAATACAATTGTATAATACAAAATTTGTATATTGCCAACCTTAAGCATAATGCTTATTTTTAAAAAAGCATATTTATATAAATTTTAAAATTAATTTTAATTATAATGTCTTAAAATACATAAATAAATAAACATGTTTTTAATAGAAAATATTATTTAATTATATCGTAACAATCAGAATTACAATGTATAAGAGTATTACTCAAGTTAAAAATATGCAAACAAATATGTAGAGACAGGAAATGTAAGTGAAAACCATTTTATTTGGTAAAAATTTATAGAAATCTCCTGGGAAAGAATTTTGTTTTAAACATGTCATTTATTCTACTAGTACAATTGCAATAAAATTAATGTTCAAATAATGTTAATGTTTAATAAAATGTTTATATATTATAATCAATTGGTATATAAGCCAATGATTACAATTAATTAATTTCAAACACTTTTTGCTTTTGGAAACAAATGTAAATTTTTGCTTACAATTAATTCAGTCGATAATCAAATCATTCGATAAATTATTCAAATTGTGTTAAAATTAAGTAATATTTGATTTTGTGTGAAAATTTTGTGTAGTTTTTTTTTAAACAACTGAACAATTAAAAGTCGAGTCCCGTTATAATCCATGATTGAAACAAAAGTATGTTTTTTAAATTAATTTTGATTTCATTTGAACTATTAAATTAAATCAATTAAAAAATTGAATTATAAATTAAAATAATAGTGGATAACAAAGAAATGTCTGAATGGGGAACATCTGTCAACACAACTACTGTTGACATCAATACTATTAAGTTATTTCACGTTTTCGATGACATCAATGGCTATAATGTATTGTTTGTGACAAACAATGATATGGTTTACGGCATGGGATCTAATTATTACGGATCACTCGGTTTGGGACACAATAGGGCTGTCAATACACCTCAAGTTATACCTGAATTAGGCAANGGATCACTCGGTTTGGGACACAATAGGGCTGTCAATACACCTCAAGTTATACCTGAATTAGGCAAACAAAATATACAACAATTCATTTGTGGTTATAATTTTGTTTTAGCCATTAATGCCAATAATTGTATACACGGTTGGGGAATAAATAACTATGCACAGTTAGCCCAATCACCTACTGCTGGCTATTTAAAACCAAGCATCATAGCATTACCTGATAATCATGATATCTATAATATCAGTTGCGGTAATTCTCACACACTTGTGGTTACCGGTGATGACTGTGTCTACGGATGGGGTAATAATATGTTTGGACAGTTGGGTTGTGGGGAACAAAAATCCATATCAATAATAACTCCAATAAAAATAAAATTCATTGACAAAGGAATAGCGTATAAAATACGTGGTGTTTATTGTTACTACGATTTCTCGTTTGCCGTCACAACTGATGGCCGAGTCTTCAGTTGGGGTCAAAATAATTGCCATTTGGGACACAATATATTGGATAATGTATTCAAACCACAAATGATTAATAATTTGTTTAGCATTCAAAAGGTGTGTTCGACTGGAGGTATAACTTATTTCCTAACAAACGATGGATTAGTGTATTTTTGTGGCAAATATTGCAACAAAAAGAAATCACGTTCTTTACAAAAATCAGTGGTTAAATTATTCAGTAACAATAAACCAACCATGGACAATTTATATGTTCTCTTATCATGGCAAAAGAAAGTTGCTGATGAAATATTTATAAAGAGTGATAAAATATACGAAATTACTTCATCACTAAAATTGTTTAAAAATGATTACAAAAACACATTTGATTACTATTCAAGTGAAATGCAAATGACATTCAAAACAATACATTTATCCGATTATAAAGAATATAATTATAATTCTTATGAAGCATTTATTGAAAAATGTAGCAATTTTTTAAATGACATGTTTGCAATAATCAAACAATTAAAAGAAGGTATATATTGTTGTGATATTAATTTATACTGTATTTATTGTATTTATTTGTATAATAATATAAATTATTTTTTAGATCAAAATAACACTGAAATAAGTGATTATAAACGCTTTTACGATGAGTTGTGTGCATTGGGTTTGGGATGTTTTGGCACTGTTTTCAAAATTAAACATAAAGGCAGTGGAAATGAATACGCGATTAAAATCATTGATAACATAAACTGTAAGTAAATTTATTACTTAATATGAACCTTGTGGAATCATTCAAAGGTTCATTTTTATATAAAATCCATATAATTTTACATTTATAAATTATAATGAATCAATCCCTATTTTGTGCTATAAGTAAACCAATGTATAAATGTAAAAATGAACTTTCAAATAATTCCACACGGTTAATATGATACATTCTCTCAACTTAATACAAACTTAATAATTTCTCTCTCTCTCTCTCTCTCTCTCTCTAACTCTCTCTCTCT